AAAAAAAGAGGAGGATTGGCATCAGATGTTAGCTCAGGGCTAATCTTTCTCACCAAAAAAACCCCAAAAAAACACCCATATAGCTTTTACCTTGATTCACCTACAGTGACATTTTATCCCATTTGCTTTATCATTTATGCTCATGTTCTGTCTTTCTCCTTATGTGTTTATGTATATGTATGAAAACATGTATATACATAATATGTTTTTCTGAACCATTTGCAGGTAATTTGCATACACCATGGCCCTTTATCTCTCAGTGTATACGCAGAGTTCAGGGACCCCCAAGGCTACCCTCAGGCTTAATAATTTGCTAGAAGGACTCTCAGAACTCACTGAAAGCCGTTATACTCATGGTTACAGTTTACTACATGGAAAGGATACAGATTAACATCAGTCAAGGGAAGAGGTGCCTGGGGCAGAGTCCAGGAGAGTTTCCAGCACGAACTTCAGTGGCCTTCTCCAGTGGAGTTGTGAACAGCCCTGACTCTGCCCGGCAGTGATATGTGATGGTTCACACCGAGTATTACAGCCCGAGCCTTGGTGTCCAGAGCTTTTACTGGGGCTCAGTCCTGTGGATGTGGTTGGACACCTGTGTGGCTGACTTTAGTTTCCAGCCAATCTGGAAATCGAGCTGATAGCACATGGTCCAAAGCCCCCACCATAAATCACGTTGTTAAACTGTCTGGTTTGGCCCAAAGCCTCCTGGTAAAACAAGACACTTTTATTAGGCCAACATCGCAAGGTTTTAGGGATCACCTCCCAAAGGTAAAGGAAAAGCCAACCCCTCTCTGGGCAAGGCTAATTCTTTACTAAACAGTATATTTTATAGAAATACGAATATTCTCTTACATATTCCCTGTGCAGATACAATACTTTTGCCCAATCTATTGTTTATGCTCTAATTTTATCAATAGAGCCAATTATATTATTCAAAGCATATTTTTCTCCCTCCAGGCCAAGATCTAGTCTAGAATCTAGTCCAGCTGTCATGTCTCTTTAGCCTCCTTTAATTCAGAACACTTCCACAGCATGTCTTTGTCTTTTATGACAGTGACATTTTTGAAGAATAGTATTACCTCCTCCCCTGTTTTTAATAGAACACTCCTAATATTTCCTAAAAATTAGATTCAGATGATCCATTCTGGCTGGAACTCTACGTTGGTAATGGTGTGTCCTTCTGAGGGTGTCACAGCTAGAGGCGCACCATCTGTCCCTCATTGGTGATGTAATTTTGATCACCCAGTCAAGATGTTGTCCAGTGTCTCCACTAGGAGATTGCTGCAATTTCCCTCTTGCCATCATAGGGCAACACTTTAAGAACACACGAATATTTCCTTGTAGATATAGCATCCAGCCATGATTCTTGCCTTATCCAGTCTTTATCATGATAGTTACAAAATGATGGTTTTCTTACTTAGTGCTTCCTTCACGTTTAAGTCAGCACTTGGTGTTCTACAGTAAGCAACAGCCCCCCTTCTCAACCATTTATTTATGTTATTTGTAGGGACTTGTGAAATTCTTTTTTTAAAAGTGGTTTATAATTTATTACTGCAATTATTTTGGTGCTAAAGTTGTCCCAAATTTGGCCCCTTTAACTGACTCCTGTGCCTGTAACATGCCCCCAGCATTTTTTTGAGCACTTCCTTACTTTATGGCATAGCATGATGTTCTGTGTTCATCTATTACTTAGACCCAGCTCTGGAATCATCCATTTCTTTTGTTGGGGAATGGTATTTAACACCAAGGTCTGGATGCTAGTGTTGCCATTGCCGCTATAATGTCTTTGTTTCTTGTCTCAGAGGACAGAGCTCGGAGGCAGGCGTGTGTGTGTGTGTGTGTGTGTGTGTGTGTGTGTACACAAACATTCATATACATACACAACACACATATAAATATGTATACATATGAATAGATGTTCAACTTCATTCAAAATAAGAGATGTTAATTAAAATTATACTGAAATACCATTCTTACCCATGAGATTGGCAAAAATTTAAAATGTTAACACTGCTTTGAGCAACACTGTGGGGAATAAGGTACTTTCATGCGTTGAAAGTAGGAATGCAAGATGACACAATCCCTATCTAACAAAAGTAAGTTTTTGCCCTTTGCCAGCAATTCACCTCTAGGAGTTTTCCCTAAAGATAGCAAAGTGCAAAATAGCATTAATAGTATACCACAACTTGTGTAAGAAAGAAAGGAAAATAAGTTAATAGATGTATATCTGCTTATCCTTATAAAAAGGAACACAAGAAGGATTAATCAGAAAATCATGAAGTTAGTTTCTTATAGTGGGTGGGAGGTAATAGTGCGGAAGAGATGTACAAGAGAGTCACGCTTTTTCTGAGTATACGTTTTTGTCTGGTTTGGACTTTTGAAAATATGTCAGTTCAACACATTACAAAAATTAAATCAAATATGAATGCAAAAGGATGATAATCTGAAGCTAAAAGAAAAATGAAACAAGTGAACTGAGTTGTATTTGAAATGAATACCATAACCACATGAGGAGAAAAAAGAACGAACTCATGGAAGGATCTAAGGAACACAGTGTATAACTCTATACCCTTAGTTTTGGGCACCGTCGGAGGGGGTGGGAGAATGAATTACAATCCTGCACGCTTTTTAGTGGGTGTGTTCATTGTAGTGACACGCAAGAAGCAATTCTGAAACTATTTTAGGTGTATTACAGGTGCCCGGGCAATTCAATGGAGAGGGAAGAGTCTTTTCAGCAGATAGTGCTGAGACATTTGGTCTTCAGTACGCATGCCTCACACCTCACGAATAATGAACTCAAAATGGTTAAGAGATCTAATGTAAAATGTAAAAGCATGAAACTTGTAGAAGGAAACATAGGAGAAAATCTTCATGACCTTGGGTTACGCAAAGAGTTCTTAGATGTGACACCAAAAGTGTGATTCATAAAAGGAAAAAGAATAAGTTGGACTTTGTCAAAATTTACAACCTTTGCTCTCCCTGCGTTTTTACAGGGAATCAGCTCTCGAAGCCAGAGCTCATATTCCAGTTGGAGAGAGAGGAGAAGCTTTTGATGATGGAGATGGAAACCCAGAGAGATGGGTGTTCAGGTGAGAACCGTCCAACAGTAACCCAGCAGCCAAGAGCCCCTCCTGAAACATGGGTCAGAGCCCATCACTTCTCTGTTTAAACTCTCCGATGGCTTCCCATTTCACACACAGTAATATCTAAAGTACTTAGAGTGGCCTATTAGCCCTAATGGGTCTGTTCCCGCAACCCCCTCTAGCTTTCCATGTTCACCTCTATTGTTTGTTTTGCTCGTTTATTCTGTTCCAGCTGCCCTGCCCCGTTGCTCCCCATCAGACCTGTCATTTATGATTCTGCTTCAGACCTGTGAGCTTTTCTCTTTGTCTTGAATGAATGAATTGGCTAATAGATGCTTGGTCTTTACTGTTTCGGTCCTCCTTGAGACAGCTAATAGGTGTAGAATAAATCAGTGTAATCAAAGGATACTCCACAATGTTTGTCATCTGATGAATGCCTGTCCTAATTTTTAACTGTTTAGATGTCCTTGAGTATTCATAGACAGGTAGCCATTATTCCTAACAGATTAAGAATAGACAATCAATTAAAGTAAGTATGAAAATTGATCAATGCCAACAGTATAACTGACCCTTCCTATGCAGCAATGTCAAGTGAGACACTCTTGCGTTAACTTCTTTATTCATGTGCCCAGCTCTTTGTCTTCCCATCCTATCCTCTCCTTTCCCCTCCCATCCTCTAACACCTAAACCTTGATCCAGCTACAGTTTTGAAGTAGAATTTTCAAGTTGGACATTTATGTGATTCTAAACACTTTGGTAATGTTTCTTGAGTGCTCAAGACTCTGACTTCCACAGCCACTGTCACATGTGTGTAGCTAAGGATGCTCCTGGGTAGGGAAAAGAGTCAATAGAAAGTTTGAAGACAAATTACTTCACTTCTATAATTTTTTGTTGCCATCTCAGTTAAGATTCAGGGTCGTACATGACACAATACAGTGCGTAGAGCAGGGGTCAGCAAACTTTTTCTCTAAAGTAATAGTAAATATTGTAGGCTTTGCCAGCCACGTATGCTCTCTGTCACATATTCTTGTTTGTTTTTTCTTACACCGTTTAAGGAAGTGTAAAAACTCTTCTTCGCTCTGGGGCTGTACAAAAACAGGCCTAGGGCCGTAGCGTGCCAGTCGCCCTGCTGTATAGCATCAGTAGGAGCATAGTGTCACATTTTTAAATATCTTATTTTGTTACATATACTAACATGTTTATATACCTTACATTAATGGAAAAATTTGATAATGTACATTCTTATTTTTAATATACCAATTTTTCTTCTTCATGATAGTTTGGGGAGGTCCCTCCCAGTTCAAGATTACAACTCTTTTATATCTTTTTATCAGGGCTGTATAATATTCCAACATGGATCATTTAGCTCTTCTCCAATTGATGGGCATTAGCTTATTTCTTTTCCTTTTTTTTTTTAGTGTAATACAGAAGGTACAATAGAAACCCCAATCCAAATGTCCTTGGGTACTAGTGGTTTTATTTCTATGAAATAAATTACCTATTGACTCAGAGATTCAAAGAGGAAATCTTGCTGAGCTTTAACTTTGGAGTTGTGACCAGAGGAAACATAATTATCCCTGATTGGCTTTCCTGCAGTCTATGGGAGTAGCCATTAATTGACTTGGGCAAAGAAACATTTTTAAAATGAGGATTCTTGGAACCACTCTCTTGGCAGGTCCCCTCTAGAAGAAATAGCTCCATTTCCATTTACACTAGGAAAGAGAAAGTTGTCAACAAATAATACCTTCTAAACTATCCATTTCCTTGCCAGATTTCTCAACTTGCAGCCTATCCATCTCTTCCAAAGTCAGCATCCACATAGATCCCCTTTTTCCATGCGAGGCAAGTATGATTCAAGGTCAGAGAAACGAGAGTTATGAAGTGTAGTACCTTCTTTCTTTTCATCCCCTCTTCAAACATGGGCCTGTACTTCTTCATCTTTATCCCTTACAGGTTAGCCATGAAATAAATAACTTGATGTAGATTTTAGACAGTTTTCAAACCTTCATTCTCATTAAGATTTGGTGTAGAATTTTCAACTGGTGAACACTATAACCTAAAAAATGAGGAAGTTGCACTCTCAGGGTTCATACATCCTGAGGGAGAGAAAGAATATATTTCAGGTGGTAGTTTGTTCCTTATATTTTGAACTTCAGTCCATGTAGGCGTGAAACCAAGATACACACCTACTAATTGATATTTTTTCCAAGTTTCCACATTTGAATTTTGCATTTGAGCCTTGTAATTGTTTGATTACGAACTTTATGCCTTCGTCAACTGTTAGACCAGTGGTTTTCATATTTTTTTGACCATGACCCTCAGTATGTAATGTAGCCTGTACAGACCTATGTATGTTTACCTCTCTGCACATCTGAAACAAGCGTTTCATGCAGTGATACCTGGCGTGCACTGCACCACTGATATTTTCTGTCCTTTTTTTTTAATTGTGTGTCACAGTCTGCTAAGTTGATGTCAAGCCTCACTAATGGTTCCCCATCATTAGCGTTCTCGTGCTGTCATAGGCCATACGTTCCACATTTCTACATACAACGATACTCCATAATCTGTTTTCAAAAGTGCAGCCTTCCCCACCAGCCATTAAATTTTTGTCTTCTATTTGGAAAGTGATAAGAAAAATAATTTTACTTATAGTAAAACAGACGATTTGTAGTCCATGTCTACATAAAGTCAACTTGTTAACCCACACAAGCCAACAAAATCTGTTTTCATGGAGTTGCCTGGTTAATTCTATCAGAAGTGCAGAGTCTGTTAGGGCGACTTGCAGCTGTTGCTGACATGAGGCATCGTGGTCCCCAGGGGCTCTGAAGGATGATCCTTTAACAGCACTATGTAGCCCTTAACACTGCTGGTTGCTGTTGATGTAATCTGAAACTCCCAGCAGGGGTGGAAAGAGAAGTTTCTGGTCCATAGGGCCAGGCCAGCATCTGTGCACTGGCAAAAACATCGTTGCTCTACGAACCAAGGGCTTCTGGACTTTTCTTTTTTCCCCATAGAAAATCGTTTCTGTTTTTCTTTTCCAGTGTCATCTCTAATTATATAAAACCATCCACTTCAGTAACCAGGAGATCCTTTCTTTTAGTAGTCTCCATCTATCAAGTAATAAGGCACTCCTTATTACTTGCTCTTTTTTTTTCTATTTCTTGCAAATTATCTTGCTCTTTCTTCTATTTCCTTTTGGTTGTTTGCTGGTTCCAGCTAGATCTGAATCCACTAAACTTTTCAGGAAAGTATTTGGCCATTTTGATTTTCTCCACAGGGAGAGACTGGAAAGCAGCCACTCTTTGCCTCAGTGAGCGTGCAGAACAGGCTTTGGCAAAGTGCCACACCAAATCCACAGAGAGGGATCTCTCGCACCAGGGAGCCACTTTCATGTTTTTGTTAGCAAATCCTGTTGCCCACGATTTCTTCTTTCTGAAGAGGCACTAAACATATCTCAGTCCTTCCCAGTTTATATTTCTCTGTACTGTCCAGGCTCTTAGAAAGTCTGGAGACAGAATGACAAACTCCAGAGCAGATGGCAAGACTTCAAATCCACCAGGAGGTGTATTGTGAGAATTTTACGTCTCTCGGCTACTAGAGAGAAACTTCCACACACTCATTACCAGGAGCAACTTGGGCATGTGCACACATACACACACATGCACACACACACACCCAGAAGTGGCACAGTTCATCTGATTCTGATGACCCTGTGGCTGCTACCACCATTTGGGCACCTTTAGGAAACTCAGAAGAGGAGCTTTCCATTCGGTTAAGACCAAAGTATTTCCAGACAAATGTTAGCTCTTTAAGTATTGAAGCTTCCCTAGCTTTATGGTACTAATCCATTTTTTCTTTAATGCTATGACTCTACTGGTGGGCCAGATTTTTCCAACGTTATCTTTAAACAATCTCTCACAGATATTGTTTCTTCTACTCTAGTCTCCTTCTCTGTCCCAAGTGGAATGTCATTCCCCACAGTGAAGAAGAGAACAGCTGAGAAGTAGGTGTTTTTCTAAGAGACAATCCCTAAGAATTCCTCGTCTTTAATTCCATTTCCTTTTAAAGTATAATTATCTGGCCCTGAACAAAGAAACTTGCCATTCCTATTACTAGGGGCACAGATAGCTGTTCTCAGCTGTTTCCTATGATAATTTTAATTCCTTTATGGCTTAATTAGAATATCAAACATCACTGGGTTGAGAGTTGCTGCAATTGTAACCTAGTTTTATATGTTAACCTTAACTAAACCTTAAGTTTTAACACAGCCTTTCATATTTTGTGATGTCTTACATGTGCCAAGCAGAAATTGATCTAGCATTACAATTCCTTGCCCAAATTCCCTTTTTAATAGAAAACTTGCTACATTTGCATTAGCTAACTGTAGATACATGGGTAAAATGACATGTTGCTAATAAAATATGACAAATCTGTTTTTTAAATCACACATGTTTAATCACTGTTTTCTTACCATTTTTAGATGACTTTTTTGATCATTATTATGGTTCTGACATCTGATCTTGGGCTGTGATAGGCTGGCCAGTTTTATAAAGGGAACTGAAAAATGCCATAGTACATAGAAGTTTTAAAAACAGACTTCTAAATAACACATGGGTCAGAAAAGAAATATCAAGAGAAATTTAAAAATATTTTGAAGAAAATGAAAACACAACTTATCAAAATTTGTGGGATACAGCAAAAGCAGTGCTTAGAGGAAAAGTTGTAGCTTTGAATGCATATGTTAGAAAAGAAGAAAGATCTGAAATCAATCGTGTAAGTTTCCACCTTAGGAAACTAGAAAAAGAAGAGCAAATTAAATCCAAAGTAAGCAGAAGAAAAGAATAAGAATTGGAACAGAAATCAATGAAATTGAAAATAGGAAATCAATAGAGAAAATCAACAAAACCAAAAAGCTGGTTCTTTGAAAAGATAAATAAAATTGATAAGCTTCTAGCCAGGCTAACTAAGAACAAAAGAGAGAGGATACAAACTACTAATATCAGAAATGAAAGAGGGGACATGACTACAGGACCTATGGACGTTAAAAGGATAATAAAGGAAGACTATGAACAAACTCTATGCCCACAAATTTGATACCTAGATGAAATGGACCAATTCCTTGAAAGACACAATTTGCCAAAACTCATACAAGGAGAAATAGACAATCTGAATAGGCCTATATCTGTTAAAGAAATTGAATCAATAACTAATAAGCTTTCAAAACAGAAAGATAGAACTCATTCGGTTGTGAGGAAAGTAGAGACAGACAGGTAGTCCTCTAAAGGTTAAATATACTCTGTTCAAGAGAGGTAAGCCAGAGGTGTGGTTAAGAGAGTAGCCAGCAGAGCACCTGAAGTATTAGTCTGTAATCAAAATGTTATTCTTACTGTATCTTCTACTGTCCAGAAGATGCCTTAGTTTCTCTTACTATCTAAAAGCACAGTAAGAACACAGGGTAATATCAGCCTGGGTTGCCTGAGTTGACATTCTTGAGTAGCTATTATTAAAAAAGAGAAAAAATATATAAATGGAGATTTTTTTTGCCTTCATTCATTATGGCCAACTGTTGAATTTAAATTATTATTTGGTATTTATGATAAATATAACATCTTTTTTACTGAATTAATTGACGTAGGATGCTGGAGTGACTGACTTTCTCAAACTCTAAATCAGGATTACTAAGAAGATGAAATAAATTCTCAGCCTTGTGACTTCAAATGAGGTCTTCCAGAGCTCGCTCTTATGCAGTACATATTTTCTCCATCAAATCATGTTCATTTATAAATCCCACTCAACACAATTTCTCATCAGCACTCTACCATTGATATTAAAATAGAACTTAAATGTTGAGATATGGAAAGGAAATGACAAGTAAGGTGTTTTTGGTATACACTGCTGACTAAAGGAAATTAAAGTTAATGTTGTTAAATGTGTAATCTTTTCCATAAGAGGCTGAAAATAAGTGAAATGACCTTTTTTTCTTCCTCTGTCCCTTTAACATTAAGCCAGTGGTCAGAAAGAAATTTTAATCTCTTTTATATATTGGAGAGATTCTTATATCATAAATTATGTACAAATTTGTATTGAAACAGTTGCTTTGTAAGAAATTGGGCTTTGACTAACAAGCTGTTTTCATGTTCTTAAGCCACTATGTCAGTCCCAAAAGACATAACATATTAAATTGTATCTTTATGGATGTATATTGAGTGTTTTTGATGATACCTAGACAAAACTATAAGTATGATTAACTCTAGCTGGAAGCCCAAACTTTATGTCAGTCCCAAAAGACATAACATATTAAATTGTATCTTTATGGATGTATATTGAGTGTTTTTGATGATACCTAGACAAAACTATAAGCATGATTAACTCTAGCTGGAAGCCCAAACTTTCTTACGTATAAGCTATTTACTTTATCTGACATGCCTCCTATAGTATGTCCCTTCATTTCATCTTTAGATGATAAAATATTAATATAACTGAAAGCTTTGCTTTTGAGAAACCAGAGTCATTACTAATCATTTTTTACAGCACCGAGATGAGTACTTACTGATGTGCCATAAAACGTTTCCTGCAGTCAATGCGCTGCCCTAGAGCCTATTGCCACGCGATCATCAGTGTGCCTTTTATTTTTCCCTTTTTTTTTCTTTTTTCACGTTGGGGATAGGGTGGGGCTACAGGTAAGATTTTGTACAAGAAAAATGCACGATTTTAAAGGTTATTTTAGAAATTAAAAAGACGTAGTCCACAAGAGATTCTTGTGGACTTTGCCTTTCTCATCAGCAGGTGATACCCTGAGTGTAACCGTGCCTCTCACCCAGCCTTCCAACTTTGCAGCAAAATTGCCATCACCAGTTCCTTTCTCACGAAAAGTAACTGGCATGTACGTGCCCTCTTAGTTCTGTGAGTGAGAGAGACTCATACTGTGATCTATTCGTTATATGCTGACTGAGCAGCTCCTCGTCACTAGGAGTGGTGTGGGCAGTAAGGGTGATGCAGTGCATGAAACAGGTTGCTTGTCCATGTGACTAAGACATTCCAGTGTGGAAAGACCGACGAACACAATTAGGTAAGGAAGAATTGTCATGTTGAGAATAATATTCATAGTATGAAAAAAAAGTCCTCCTTTACTGCTTTCTTTTCTGGATGCCGTAGAGAATTAGTGTACTGCCAAGTGGCAGAAGAGTGCATGTCATTACTTCAACCCTGTTGAACCAGTTGTCCTCAGGGAGGATACTGCTCACCGGGATATGAAGATCTGCTGTCTGGTTACAATCTGAGCCTTAATAACTGAGTAACAGGCTATTTCCACCCAAACATGTCCGTCTTCAACTCTTTTGGTGCCTCAAATTCCCTAACATGAAAATAACTTTTCAGTAAAATGATGCAAGCCAAATTCAGTGTTCATTGAGTTCTGTTTGTTTGCTGAGTTGCCTCAGGAGAACTGCAGATGCCATGAACCTTGGCTGTGCTTACCTCCCTCAGTCTCCATGTTTTTCTAATGTCTTTGGGGTTGGATTCTGTCACTGTTTCACATTGTGACCTGCACCATGGCCCTTTGTCATTGTGAAATATCTTTTCACAATGAGTTAAAACTGATAATGGCTTACAGTGACTTAGAAGAGTTTATTATTCTCATGAAGATAAATAGTTCATTAGAGATAGGCCGTATGATGGCTCAAGCATAGAGTAAAGGTCTTTGTTTACATCTGACTGCATAGCGTTTAATACACAATCTCCTTATAAAGAAACAAACAAAAACATTACCATGCCCATGTGCCAGAGAAAAAAGAAAAAGTTATTATTAGGACATGAAACATTTGTCCACTTGAAACTATGTTCTTTCCAATTTGAAATTATCCTCTTCTGTTTTCTTCTTGGGATCTCCAGGCAATCCCTGATAACATGTGTATGGTTTGACTAGGCCTTTTGAACAGGGCCACCATATTCGATGTCCAGATTGTGTTACAAAGCCCTGATTTAGAGGCATACAGATAGCCTGAATTATGTGGCCGCTACTAATATTCCTGGTGTAGCCAAAGAAGAGCCATTTCTAAGTATTCTTAGAGGGAGTAACATGAATTTTCCTCTAGTTCCTTGAAGTTTCCTGTCATGACCTAAGTGCAAAGTCTTGAAATCTCTGAATAAAAGCATTCACTTTTGCACATGTCTAAATTCTCTTTATCCTTATAGGAGCCAAGAATCAACATAATATGGAGAGTATTCAAGAAGTGGGATTAAGCTGCCTTTCCCCCAGAGAGCTTTCCTCCTGGCAGACCCAGCAACAAGATGCAGGCACGTTAACCAGATGTCGAGATTCCGTGAAAAATTTGCAAGGGAATATTTCTCAGTTGCAAACACAAGGTGATTCCCCCTGCCAGGTTTGGGCAGGAATACCAATTCAGATTTCTGAAGATGAGAACTATATATTGAGTCATATAGAGGATAGTTCCAATTACATAAAAAATCAAGAATTTCCATCTTGGAGAGCCCAGCATTCTTGGAGGAAGATGTATCTGACAGGGTCATGTAATTATCAGTGTGGATGTCGGCAAGTTTCCATGAAAAATGATTTCTGTAAGTGTGACAGTGTCAGTTGGATCTCACATCACAATGATAGTCTGGGAGCACACAGAACAGAGAAAAACTCCAGCTGCCACGACTGTGGAGAAGACATCATGAAGGTTTCATTGCTTAGTCAAGACTTAATTCAAACCGGGCAAAAGCCCTACCCCTGTATTGAGTACAGAAAAGCCTTCAGTGATGACTCCAGCTCTGAAGTTCATCAGCAGTTACAGTTGGGAGGGAAGCACCATATATACAGTCCATGTGGAAAGGGCTGTAGTTATGATTCAGTTCTCCATATTCATCAAAGTGTTCATCGAGGAAATGATTGTGTTTCTGAGAGTTCACCTCTCCAATCCCATCAGAGAGTTCATGCAGAGGAGAAGCCATGTAAATGTGAATATGGTGAGAACTTCAATCAGTGCTCTTCTCTCAACACTTATGAACTTCTTCACATAGGAGAGACATCCTATAGATGCAACATTTATGAGAAATCTTTCAGTCGTAGCTTAGACATTAATGGTATTTTTAGGGTCCATACTGGGGGGGAACCCCATGAATATGAGGAGAATGGGAATGTCTTTAATCAGAGTTCTTGTCTTCAAGTCCAGCAGAAAATGCACACTGAAGAGAAACTGTACACAGATATGGAGTGTGAGAAAGGTTTCATTTGTAGCTCAAATCTTAACATTCAGCATAGAGTTCAAATGGAAGAGATTCCCTATAATTCTGAGGAGTGTGGTAATGGCTTCAGTCTGGCCTCACATTTTCAGGACCTTCAGGTAGTCCACACTAGGGAACAACCATATAAACATTATTCATGTGTTAACAAATTCAGCCAAAATTCATATCTTCAAGGCCATCAGAAAATTCGCATTGGAGAGAAACCTTATAAGGAGTGTAGGAACGGCTTCAATTGGAGTTCAAAACTTCAAGATCATCAGAGAGTCCACACTGGAGAGAAGCCATACAAATGCAATGCATGTGGTAAAGGCTTCAGTCACAGATCAGTTCTTAATGTTCATCAGAGAGTCCACACAGGAGAGAAACCTTATAAATGTGAAGAGTGTGATAAAGGATTCAGTCGGAGTTCATACCTTCACGCCCATCAGAGGGTCCACACGGGAGAAAAACCATACAAATGTGAGGAGTGTGGGAAGGGATTCAGTCGCAATTCATACCTTCAAGGCCATCAGAGAGTTCACACTGGAGAGAAACCATACAAGTGTGAGGAATGTGGGAGGGGCTTCAGTCGGAATTCACACCTCCAAGGCCATCAGAGAGTCCACACTGGAGAAAAACCATTCAAATGTGAGGAGTGTGGGAAGGGATTCAGTTGGAGCTTTAATCTTCAAATTCACCAGAGGGTTCACACAGGAGAGAAACCCTATAAATGTGGAGAATGTGGTAAGGGCTTCAGCAAGGCCTCAACTCTTCTGGCCCATCAGAGAGTCCACACGGGTGAGAAGCCATACCAATGTGATGAGTGTGGTAAGAGCTTCAGTCAGAGATCATACCTTCAAAGCCATCAGAGTGTCCACACTGGAGAGAGACCATATATATGTGAGGTGTGTGGGAAGGGCTTCAGTCAGAGAGCATATCTTCAAGGTCATCAGAGAGTCCACACTAGAGTGAAGCCATATAAATGTGAGATGTGTGGGAAGGGCTTTAGCCAGAGTTCACGCCTTGAAGCACATCGGAGGGTCCACACGGGAGGGAAGCCATACAAATGTGAGGTGTGCACAAAGGGCTTCAGTGAGAGTTCACGCCTTCAAGCACACCAGAGGGTCCACACAGAAGGGAGGCCTTATAAATGTGAACAGTGTGGTAAGGGTTTCAGTGGGTTTTCAAGTCTTCAAGCCCATCACAGAGTCCACACTGGAGAAAAACCATACAAATGTGAGGTGTGTGGAAAGGGCTTCAGTCAGAGATCAAACCTTCAGGCTCATCAGCGGGTCCACACAGGAGAGAAACCATACAAATGTGATGCATGTGGTAAGGGTTTCCGTTGGAGCTCAGGTCTTCTAATTCATCAAAGAGTCCATAGTGATGATAAATTCTATAAAAGTGAAGAGTATGGTAAGGATTATCCTTCAGCAGAGAATCCATACAGAAATGAAGTTCTGTAAAATGGTGTTCTATTTTGTTTTGAAGTCCTCAAGTGGGAGCTAAAATTTTCCATTCACTAGAGTTCTTATAGTAGAAAAAAAAATTTCTTTAATGAAAATGGAATGTTTCTGCCCAACCTCAGCATTCACAATAGCCAGGAGACCACACACTGAAGACATCTAATGAGAGGGCTTCCATAAGGGATTTTGTCAGAACTTTAACCTCATTCATTGCACATGACTTTAGCTAGTCGTTGCACTAGGGCTTATAAAAGATAAGAGAATGGTCAGGAACTTAACTAAAGTGCAGTGATGAGCATGTCTAAATCCACGTCCACTAGAATGTAAGCTCAATGAGAGAAGGGGCTTCATTCACTGCTAAGTCTACAAAACCATGGCATTGCGTAACTCAGTGTAGGTGCTCAGTACTTTTGCTAAATGACTAAAAGCATGTCCAGGTATCATGCTTGAAAGTTTTAAGCAGCTCATTTCCCCCCCAAAAAAAATTCATTTAAAACTGTGTTTGGAGGAGGAGTCCTGCAAGTAGCCTTAATATAAACACTTCAAGTAGATAAATATTTAAAATGTAGAGCATCAAGCAATATTGCAATCAGAAATTACATGAATTTGGTTGTAACCCTGTTGGGATTGGTTCCCATCCTTCGTCCCTTAAGCAGGGATGAGCTGAATTTATTACCATTTGGTCTCTTTCTATACAGTACATCATCAGTTTAAGTTTAGCTGTGTGTGTGTGTGTGTACATGTATGTGCACTTTACATGACAGTACAAACTGATGAACAATGTTTCTGGTTAACTCTACAAAAATGGAACACTGCATTTTACATAATTGAATTGTTACTCCTGCCCTGTGTGTTAATGCAGAGTTTTACTGTAATATTTAGAAAGTGTCAGAAGTGGTTACTAATGAAAAATACTTTCTAAATAAATGTTAAAATTACAATGCTTGGTTTTTTAGTCTCCATATTTCCATCAAAGTCCTTTTGATCTGACTGATTTCTAAGAATTATAGCCTCTGTCCAATTCAGACCTCCTTAGGCAGGATCTGTGACGAGTTTAGAGGACTTGAATTTTGTCAACTTCTCCACCCCCATACTTAGTCCACTCACACAAAGAAAGGAAAAATCTTGAATTTTTCTAAACATTGTGTCAAATGTATTGGTTATTAGGATAGGATTTCCTTTTACTTGGTAGTCTCTGTCTTCAAGAACAATGCATTTTGTTGATGGGAGTGAAAAATACAAGCTTGTTAGAGAAGAATCATATGATATATATCAAAATGCAAAATGTGCATACCCATCCAGAAATCATAGAATAGTGATTTATAATAAAGCAGTTTTAACAGTGAGAAATGATGTGTACAATGAGGTATTCCAGTATCTGTAAACTGGAAATAAATAGGAGTTTGCATAAATTTCTCTGTGTTTCCATAATATGGAGCTACAGAAAGTATGGAATTGATCTAAAATGGTGGGAAAGGATTATGCATATTGCTTAGCAAAAATGTGGACTGTATCTTCATAGTATCCAGTTAATCTGTCTGTATACATATATGTTCAAATACATAACTTAATAGATAATGTGTGAAAGATTACTCACTATCATGTACACAGTGGTTTTCTCTGGCAAGCAAAATTTTGGCTTAGTCTTTTTTCTTTTTTGTACTTAATTTTAAAAATGTACAATTAACATTTATCAATTTTACCAAAGTAATAAACTACTGAGATATTATCTCTTAGAGTTAAAAACTCATAATATGATTGCTCCATTTCATTAGATGGAATTATAGCCAAAATTAAAGAATAAAACCCCTGAAGTTAATTTTCAAAATTCTCTAGATTTTTGAGGATACAGATCAGCTACTTTATCTTTCTGTGAAATTTCTTTAGGTCTCACTGCCCATACAGCCTAGAATGTCCTAGTGCAATTTAGTATTATTATAAATTGATGCATCACAGTTTTTCTGTCCGACTTTCCCCTGTTGGCTGGATGGGGTGACTAAGGCACTGGCTTAACCTGGCTTCCAAGGTGTTAGTTCAAGTTGCACAGTATTGTCGGAAATCCAGGGCTTCAAATGCATTTCTTTTTTTTTTTTTTTTTTT